GATATAGATATGAGCTCAGATAACGAAATACCAAGATAAAACAGGCTTACGAAACGACACGTGTGCTTCATGATCATGATGAATGTGTTTGGAGTTAATCGAGAGCCGTCTTCCTCCGACTTTCACTGGATAATAATGTTGAGCAATTTGTTTGTGTTAGACGAGGAGATATCTCGCGCGCGTACGTGCGGGAGGGTGTTGTGCCAGCATTGCCATTTATTGCGGTCTTGCGTTGAGATAAGATGTGGGGAATTTCGTCATCTGAGACTTTATAACTGGAACCATTTATCTAGTCCCATGACGTGGCGGCATTATTCGGAGCTCTTTCTCGACAACTAGGCTTTGTATATGGTTGGAGATCGGAGAACCAGGTCATCAGACTGTGCAATCTAGCTTTAATGGATGGTTTGTTTGTATACTTGGTTGTGGTTGGTTGAATCGTTGCTGACAAAGGAAGGTCAAAGCAGATGATCACGATGGTGTAGATCATACCAAAATAAAAGATGATAGATATTGCGTTGCGCTACTCGCCGCCTCCTGGTCTGTTCGCTCATTCCCCTATACTCTACATCGGCACATTTGTCCCGGGCCCAAGAAATCCAAGGTGTACTGTGGACTTTTTGTGTAGTCGGCAAAGCAGTGAGGCAAGTGAGGAATTTGTGGCAGAAATTGTTGGTCGTCGTGTTCTTACTGTCGGCACAAATCGGAAGCTCCCAAATTGAGCATCTTCGTGAAACCAAGTGGAACACCACTGAAGCTGCAACGTGTTGTTTTTGCACCTAGCATCATCAACGGATACCTTTCCTCTATCATCTTAGAACCTTTGACTTCAATGAAACCATTCAAAGAGAAGCTGGAGAAGCGTCGAGAGCGGATAGTATCTGTAACTCGCCCAGGTAATGGATATGAAGGAGGAAAGGAAGTGGTCCAAGAGCTTAGGAGTCTGGGAGTGATATAAGTCTTATTGCCGCTTCTGTCGTTCGAACTCTAACAGTATTTGCAGGAGCGCTGCGGAACCGGAGTGTACAATCCTTCTATGGCCGATGTTGGCTTACCGCAGTCTGGTCAAAGTCAAAAGTCAGCCATCAATGCTGAAACGTCGAAAGGTTGAAACTTGAGCTGAGGCACTCGAGCAGAAGTGATACACAGCCTAGACAGTGTTACGACTGGACGAGATTACATGGAATTACATGGGTCGTGTGGTTTTCGATGAGGTTGAAAGAAGAAAGTTGAATCAGAGGACGCCAACGAAACTGAGGAAAAAATCAAAATAGATCGATATCTAAAGCTAATGAAATCGGTAATGACAACGCACGCGTGTTAGTTTATCAATTGCGATTTTATTGAACAGGAAAATGGTGTCCATGTTATCAATTGCTATTGTGAAATACCATAGTTAACTTGGTTGGTAGTGTGGGCGCTTGACTAAAGTTTTGTATCTTGCTATAGTGAAGCGAGGCTTGTCTTCCTCACTGAGAGCCCTCCGATCCTCATAGGATAGAAGCTGGGGAGAATCAGCGCTCAGCAGGCGAGATGATAGTGTCGGAACCTTGAAAGAGTCTGAAACAAGGCTTGAGGCACGGGCACGTGTTCGGTCTCTTTTCCATCGACCATCATCATGTTTCATTCATAGCCTCAAGCTGAGCATTCTCCTTCTCATTCTCAATTTCTTGTTGCACGTATGTTGCAAACTCGTACTCTCCCTCCGCGATGGCGCTATTACCGGCACTGGAATAAGCTTTGTCTAAATCTCCGGCGTTCAACGAATACGACGTTCAGCTCTTGGAGCCCTTGCAACATCTTATTCTGCTTTCCTTTCCGAACAGATATATCAAGATAAAAAACTTTCAAGACAAAACATGGACTTATCGCTTTGAGTGCGTAGAGTAGAGACCACTAAGCTTGGCCGCCTCCCGTCCAAAAACCTCAGAAATTCAAGCTTCCTTCTTGCTCGGAATTGGTAGGCTTACCAAGCTGGGCTGTGTATTTGTGCGGCGCAAGAATTGCCTTCATCATGCTTAGCCGCTCGCGTAGCGACTACAGACACCCCTGGCCCTGCCTCTGAAGGGGAAAACAACATTATAGCTCACTCTCCAAGTTCTATCGTGCGGTGGGAGGTAAACCTAACCTGCTCTGCCACTGATCCCTCAGAATCCTCAACCTGGATGTATCATCGGAGATCAGAGTAGAACGTTAAGCTAAGCACCTCAGATGGACGTACGTTCAACTTTGCATTGTCAGCCGTGGGTTTTCTGCAACGTTCGGTACTCAATTTTTCCTGCGATGGGTTCTTTTTCACAAGTATGATTTCAGCCGTATAGACTGTTTCCTTAGTAGGCTCAATATATTGTTCAAAAATTTGGTCTACCTTGCTCCATCTGTCCCGTTCTACCTGTCCCGTTCTGCCTTGACAGTTGCTACCAGTCGTTCCCGAGGACAATGTCGATTGGAATGGGCGTCTCCCATTCTCGGCGCTTCAAAATTGCGACGCGGAAAGTACGACTGAGCGCCAAGCTGTGAACGCGAAAGCTAGCTTAACGTACGTTCCTTCATTTGCTCATGACAGTATACCTGAGTCTGACATTCTGCGTACAGCTGAGAAGCTGTCGCTGGTGTTTGGTGTTCAGCTATGTACTTCTCCTGCGTTTGAACTGCTCTATGCGCTGTCCTGGTTTTCTGTATCTTCCGCCAGTTTTCTCTTACTAGGATCCTCGGTGGTGGCTTTGTTGGGCCTCTTGATTCCCACTGCTTGACTGAGCGCTGACGAGAATTTTTGAGTTCTGGGTGTACAGCTTCAACACCGGAGCTCAAGAAGCCGAATACAGAGTAAACTTTGGCATATTGGCGTATGTAGATGGTAGGGATGGTGGATGATTCCCCCAGCAAGTCCTCTGAGACGACGTGCGATTGATCAAGGTCCTAGTGATGGATTGAACGCGAAATCGTGATGCTGTAGTGCCTCTATAATCTTTGTTTTGATATGATCAACAAGCAGTGCAAGGATTCATTTAGTAGGAAGGCTTCCCAGCTATGTAGTCTGTATGTCGATCACACCTTCCATCCGCTGTACATTCTATTACGCCGGACTGAGCCATCGTACCCTCATTGGTCAGCATCTTTCACGTATTTTCCTAGCTCTGTGTTCATCAAACTCATTGAGGTGAGTGCGACTAAGTAATCTCAATTTTTTTTCGAAGTTCTTGCACGTAGTCTCGACCCTTGTCTCGACCTAATCTTTACCTATTTGTTGATATGACTTATTTCTTCGACTTTCCTCAGTCTGTCGTTCTGAACCAGTCGAATTCCTCGGCTCTTACATATGACAGCAAAGCGCTATCAAGAGTTCTGGTAAATATCTCTAACGACCTTCATAGTAGTGAAGCACATAGCTACACGAAGGTCGAGTTCTGAGGCCGATTTCCCGAAATACTCGTGAATGACGTCGATTTGCACTGCCTCCCGACTTGTGGCAGTGAAAATTTTCTAGTTACAGGGCGCTGCATCGTAGCTGAGTGCGTTGGTATTAAAGCTCGCGCACAAGACATCGGCAATTCTTCATCTCTCTCACTAGACTCTTCAGTGCACCCTCCCACTGCGCTAATCTCGTCCTCCTCAACCTCAAGATATATATAATGGACGGCAGATATCACACCCATTTCTCTAACGAGCTCCAGCTGCAACTAATGTCAGAGGATAATGCTTCCGCCTCCGCATATAATCCTCAACAGCTGATCGAGGAGAGTTACATAGTAGACGAGATGGGGATCCCATTACAGTTACCCACATTCATGGATCACACATCTTTAACTTACAATTCGGGCGCTGTTCCTTATATCACTCAGCGTAGCGACTCTCATTCCCATCACAACACAGACGCCCGCTTCGGGGGGTTCGCGAGTGCACCAACGTCGCCTTCAGTGGCAATCGCATCTTCATCTTTATCGGGATCCCACTCCAGTTCCAGCTCCAACTCCAGACATAGACTTTCTCTCCCTTCCCCTTCTACACTCGCTCTCGCCCTCTCGCCTCGCCAGAGTCCGAGCCCGAGATCTAGACAGAGACGTGACTCTCCCGGCGCTCATCATGCTCATGCCTCTGGCAGTTACAGTCACGTCGAAGAAGAAATGTCTTTATCCTTACCAAACGACGAACCCCTGCCTCCACTCCCGTCCAACCCCACGGAAGAACAGAGACGAGTATGGAACAAGAAACGAAACACGCGTTCAGCAAAGATGAGTCGATTACGCAAGCAAATTTATACCAAGAGACTCGAAGAGGAGGTCGAGAATCTGAAGAGGGAGAAGGAGGTGTGGCGTACAAGGGCGCAAACTCTTCGCCAGCTGTTTATTAGCCATGGGATCGATTATCCTCCTTTTGAGAACTAGCTGTAACTTTCTGCTTTCTGCTTTCTTTTCAATCCGCTTTCTTTCTTTCTACGCAAGTTCTTCGGTCCTTCCATTCATTTTCATTTTCTTCTTTCTCTCTTTTTTCGTACTTGGATTTCACGCTTTACGCCTCTTGTTCACGCTTTTTCACGAACTATTATGACGCCGGATTTCCGAGTCGAAAGGAAGCTCTGTGTATATTATTATTATTATTAAGTAGCTTATTTACATTTGAGGTTTAATCTGCATTTTTTTTTTGGGGGAAATTTCAAGTATACGCGTGTACGCGTTGTGAGCGCGAAGCACTCATTACTACCACGAGGCCACTGTCTTTTCACATTCGAATCTCTTCAAGTTGTCTTCAAGTTCGGATTTGGCAGTATGAATCCTCTGAGGTGAGCGCCGGAAATTACTCTGGTCACAAGGAGAACCAGTACGATATATTTCGTTCGAAGGAACGGGAGGTGGTGTACAGAACGTACAACTTACAACGTATTAAAGGTAAAGAACAACGAGGAAAGTATGTGACACCAGTGAATGTAACAACACGTGAGAAACAGTAACGTCGCGTTAGTATCTTAAGCCGAATATCTTAGCTCACGAAGAGATTTCGTCGGCGCTATAGCCAAGTGGTTACGGCGACAGATTCGAATGAGGAATTCTCCCTTTACTTATCTGTTCCTCTTTGAGGGCGCAGGTTCAAATCCTGCTGGCGTCGTTGTATGAAGTTGTATTGTTGTGGTAGTAGACTTTCTTTTTGGTGTAGCTTTGAGTCTTTGACCCGGATATGATGGGTTCCATGTATTTCTAAAAGTATCCATTTGGTGCAGACTGTGGCAAAGAAAATCGGGTCCCTTAGCTACTCCTCAGTGTTTATCTATGGCTTAGAGCGCTTACATCTGAGGGTCGCTCGTTTTTTCAATCCATGACCAGTAAGTTTCATATTGGACTTGTTCTTGACGACCATAATCATTTCGTGGACTCGGACCGTGGTGTCCTTGTTTCCAGGGTTGGCACGGAGAGCAAGGAACTAGTTTGTGCAGTGGAAATCCGTCTCTGTGTACTTTTTATTTCCTTCTATGCCCTTGGGTTCGCACTAGACTCCGAGTCTTCCCAGTCAGTATTTTGAGTATCCTGGACATGCCGTCTTACAGGGTACCTTGTTCAGAACCCTCCTGTGCGCAAACATAGATGATTCAAGTTCCCTATCCTTCAGCCATGATAGGGCTATACGGCGCTGTTAATGCTGGGAAATTTGTCTCGCTCAAAACTAAGTATGCCATATTCACACGTCTTGGGACTTAAGCCGCCAGTGTACCTTGTTCAGAACCCTTCTGCGTGCAGGTATAGAGGATTCAAGTCCCCTACTATGCTTTGGTTATGATATACGGTGTTGTCATTGCTATAATGCTTGCGAGTTTGTCTCACTGTCTCATAACTCTGAATGTGTTCTGATATTCTTTATATTCGGGATAGAACCCCTACATCCAAGCGTGATGGTGGAGTTTGTAACATCGGCCTCTGAAGGTACTTATCTTTCACCTATTGACTTACAACTTGTACGTAGAGCTGTCATTCTCGAGAACTCGGGCAGTTCCTAACCTTCAAAAATCTAGATTCGTCAATATCGTTTTTATTCTTGTATTCCTGTGGCCTCCTTTGGCCCGTGCTCAGAGCCAATTTGATGAACCCACGCCTTATATCATTTGCCATCCCCTGTTTGCTTCCATCGTTACTCTCACAAGATGATTGACGGTCAATATAATTATGAGTGTTGGCGATTGTGTTTTCTTTCCTCGAGACATGGTTCCATGGTTCTCGATTAGCTAAGGGGCCATGAAAGAGGATAGGTTTTCCCAAGAGCTTGTGGCGCAAACGTAAGTAGCTACTTCACTCACACCTTTCAATGCTTTCACTATCTTCTGGATTACTGTCGAGAGGAAACGAGTCCCGCTGGAAATACGAAGGAAACCGTCGGGGCGGGTGACATAATGTCCATCCTTTAAGTTTTTTTTTCCTTTCCTGTTCAACCCTCTCTATGTACCTGGTACTAGTTGCTTTAGATACTGCTATCTATGCGAAGACATTCCAAGCTCACCCGTGTACTGCTAAGGTGAGTTCTTTTATATATTTATACTTGGGCCTTGGCGTACTGATACCAAGACTGATACCTAAACAGATACTTATACTGAATTTACCGGTAGATTAGTAGCTCATTCAATCATACCGATTGTTGGTGTTAGAGTTACCAATACTTATGGTTGCTGGATATTGCACCATTATACTCTTATAAAATAAGTGACTCCAAGGAGATTAAGTGAGGGCCATACCTCAAAACCGCCGGTCCCTGTTCAAATCCTATGGGCTGTAAGAGCTGCTTTGCCAGCGAAACTCCTCCTTCACTTCCACCATCTCCACTTCCTTGCTGCTCACCTTGATTCTTCACTGGTAATGTTTACAAGTTTGTTGTGAACCGAACGGCTGGGAAGCTATAATCTGCCTAGATATATACTGGGATGTGTAGGAATCACAAAAAAGCGGTTCTTTTATTAGTATTACTCGGCCCCGCCATCAACAGGGTCCCGCGAGGGAACAGCCGGTCCCAGACGGAAGCAGACGGGAGCCAAGTGCTGAAGCAGCGATCTCGACCCACACAAGGAAGGTAAATTAGTAGGTAAGTTAGACTGCAAACACTCCCAAATAGGGGTACATAGTTTATAGATAATGATGGCAGGAAGTAACGAATACACGTTGGTAGAACTCAGGCATAAAAAACATTTTATTTGTTTTTGATAATTTTATGAGTTAATTTTGCTTTTCGGCCCCCGTAAGGATAGTTTTTGAAATGTCTGTATTGATGCAGTGCCTCGAATCAGGAGCCTTATAGGTGTACACCGTGTAAGCGAAGCCCCCATACTGCTGGTTCAGTTTCTCTACGCGATGCAGAGCGTCACCCGATATTCTAAAATCCAAACGATCACTTGGCTGCGCCTCATCTTCCCTCTACTTTTCTTCATCGCATCTGTTGCATATGCAGCGCCCATTACTTCACAAGTGACTGGACAAGCTACCAATAATGTACGTAGTGCATGGAATGCAATCTTGGATTACCCGTTCGCGAAATAACGTTTCTAACCACCTCATCTCCTCCCTCAGGCACCGAACCACATTCGCCATCTTCCTAGCCCTCCTTCTACTCCTCCTCCTGTGTTGAGGATACATTTTGTGAACGATAAAGGCGAAGTAATGTGCATAGGGTCGGTTCCCGAGCCTTATCACGACGAGGTCAAACATCAGACTCCAGGGGCGCAGGATCTGGTCGGGAGACTACTCGTGTACATGCACCAGTCTCTTTCTGAACCCGTGCCACAGTTCGAATGGGGCCCCGAAAGTGTCTTTGACCCCAAACAGATGAGTGACTCGAGGAGAATGGTTTTCCTTAAGACCGATGACTTTGGCACATCGGAAGGCTGGATGGCGAGGGGAAAGGACAAGAAATATTATGCTTCGTTCATGAAGATTATAGTGCCCGAGATTGCGCCTGGAGATATCAAAAAAAAGCGCATCAAGGAGGTCGCCCGTGTGATGCATACTCTAGAAGAGTGGAACAAGTTCCATGCTATGTTTTTGGACAAGCACGCAAAGTTTCGGGACTTAGTATTCGAACCTGTAGCCGTAGAAAAGATTTTACAATCCCCTGCAGAGAAATCTTCATGACATGATGAAGGGGCAGACGAGTAGATAAGTATTAGATATCAGTATGGTATATATATCTTAGATCCTGAGAAGCTTGTTGATCAAGCTCGATCACTAAGTCTCGCTCCAGCAGCTAAATGTTGCGCTGTTAAAAGCGTAAGCTCGAGAAGTTGCGCCCCACGCACTTACAAAATGATATTGTCGATGACAAGAGACAAATTACCTGTATCGAGTCACCACTGAGTTTGCATCGGCAAAAGCCTATCCTTGCTGCAGACATATTTAGGTAAAAATCAAGGGCGAAAAACCCCAACGGAAAGTTCATAATGATAGTAAAGAAATGATCATGACTACAATACATGCCCGGAGCCCCCAAAAATACGATAAAATAAGTCTATAAAAAATGTACGAGCAAGCAAACCAACAGCAATTGTGGTACAGAAGGTAACAAGTATCCTTGTACAATACAAAAAGTCTCCAAAGATCAGCAACGATAGTGTATATTGTACACGATTCCATCGCCCACAAGAAGGGAAAAAAAGAAAAATGTTGTGAAGTATCACATGGGTAGATGATGAAGGAAGGTTCATGTATGAGTAGTGATATGATAATGATGAAGTAAATGAGAAATAAAAATTCAACACTATTTTTGGATTCGAACCCGCACGCACACTTTACCTGCCGCCTTCGATGTCCAGACCGAAACTGCCTCTAGAAGCATGCTCGATCGGTCTGGAACCGTGGTCAGGCAAGGCAGATGGTATCCCAGCGAAGCACCATTGCTGGACAAACCAATTATACAGCGACTCCGAGTTGGCCTCGACGGGAGGGGTAGCAGGTGTACTCGAAGGTTCGGACTTTGTAGATGGAGATACGGAGGACGTGATAGGCGGTGTGACAACGTTGGGCTGGCTCCGAGGCGAAGATGAAGTCGCCACAGGGAGAAGTTGCTTATTTTCGGGGGAGATGGTTTCATCTTTGGCTTCCAATGACGATATTGTTGTTGAAACTTTGTCATTCGACTCGACCTTGGGTTCTGCTCCAGATCGAGCTGGTCGAGCGGGGGGCGTGGAAGAACCAGGGGCTACGTAATTGGACAAGCTGAATCTCCTCAGCCTTTGGGCAGTCGCCTGCGCAACGGCCTCGGTATGTCCAGGAGAAGGAGTAGCGATAGGAGTAGGAGATGAAGGTGTTGGAGCCATTGATGACGAGACAGAGGTAGCCGTCATCACCGCAGGAGAGGCCGTGGGCGGCGATACAACTACATTCGGTAAATTGCTTGGAACGGATTCTACGGTCAAGAATGGTCAGCGTCTCCTATAGAAACGGATAATTAATATTCACCTGCAGCTGCAGCATCTGCCTTCGCAACTTTAAACTTTATCCGCCAATTCCGACCTCCACAGTTATCCCAATACTCTGCTCCAGGTACGGTATACTTTCCAACGAAATAGAGCGTCTTCGACGGAAGCGATGCCAGCGGATAATCTGACAAGTTGATAGAGAACGAGAAACGGTCCCAGGAGTGGTTGTCCTTGATCGACGAACGCTGAACTGCAAAGGGGGAAGGGAAATTGGCGACCCAGAGGGCTTTGACTTCGCTAATGGTATCCCAATTGTCCAACGTGAAGCGCAGAGTAACATCCTTTTTAACAGTAAGATTAGTATTTTCGTTTGCGCACTAATTCACGGTTACGAACCTTATGGAAGTTCAAGTTGCGTACGATGAACGCGCCTTGCACATGCAGCTTCTCCTTAAGACCGGAAGAAGATAACGAAACCGACTCTAGAAGGATATTGGTCGTTGGCAACGGAGGGAGGGAAGACGGATCTGGGACAGGATAACCGGCCATATCCAGTTCCAGCGTGGCGCCCTTCTGCCCAGCCACTGGTAAAGGAGGCCAAACAGAGTTATTCGAAGATAGAGGGGAAGAGTTATGAATCTTGGGAAAGGGGAATCCCTGAGACGAACGGGCCGCTACAGGTCCTCGATATCCATATCCCCAATCACTGCCACGATCC